GCATCGGCCGTCGCACACTGCCACGCGCGAGGCGTCCTCCACCGCGATCTCAAGCCGGAAAACATCCTGCTCACGCGCGACCCCTCCGCACCGTTCTCCACCGCACCGCTAACCACAAAACTCGCGGATTTCGGCCTTGCGGTTCCCCTGCAATCAGGCAATCGCGCAATGGGCGTCGCGGGATCGCCGTTCTACATGGCTCCTGAGGTCCTCCTAGGCGAATACGCGTTAGAAGCCGACGTGTGGTCTCTGGGCGTGATTCTATACATCTTGCTCTGCGGGGCGCCGCCTTTCTGGGGCCCGACGGATAAGGACGTGTTTGTGGAGGTGCTGAAAGGCGTGGTAGATTTAAGTGGCGAGGAGTGGGCGGGAGTGTTGGAGGAGGCAAAGCGGCTTGTGCTGTGCCTGCTGCAGAGGAACCCCCAGCAGCGTCCCACTGCCGCGCAAATCCTCTTTCATCCTTGGATCCTCCGGCATTGCCACACCAGCGTGGCAGGTTTGAGGACAGGCTCGGAAGCAGGTCTGGGTTTCAGTGTAGGCTCGGATCTGAGGGCAGGCGTGGAGGCAGCTTCTGCCATGGTGGTGTGAGATTAGCTGTGGCATAAGTTATAGTTGTACGCTTCAGGTGTGCAATTGTCGCTGATGTTTTTTTACTGATGCTTTGCTAGTCACCCTAGCGCTGGCTGCAATGCTAATGTATAGCGTTGATGGTACCTTACCGTAGTTTACCTTAGTAGGTTTGACCTGAAGCACCTTCTTTGATCAACAAGCACATGCATGTGTCATCCACACGCAAATCCCCTTACCGGTACACATGAACAGCTGTAGACACCTGGCACACAATTTTCCATCTCAAAACCAGAATGCACAGCTCTGCTTTCTCTAACCATACACCCAGATGGTTCAGGCAACAACGCAGGGGACAATACCGTATGTACTAACAACGTGATACTTTTTGCTATGCTATGCAGGGTCCGCGTACACGGCATCATAGCTCTGTTCTGTGGTCCTTGCTAGTAACCCCGCCTGCACTAGGCAGGGTGAATACTTATTCTAGTTAACTAGTGGTAACTGTGCAACCGCAGGGAGTCCCAATTGTGCAAGGCTGTGCAATGGCTGCCTGCCACGAGGCCGCAGCCTGCAGCCCCTTGTACCGACGACCTGGCCGGAGGAGCAGCTCCCTCCCTTGTGATCATGCCATCGCTACACAGGATTCATATAGCCCAGTGCAGCCACTTGTAGACTCGGCTTTAAAGAGCAGCTCTGCTCTCTCGACCAATGCCATGCCATCATCACTATGTATGCCAATACGCGTGGTGTGCACTTTGCGCAGCACACGCAGCACTTGTGAGCGGCTCTGCCTTGTGTAACTCTCCAACCAGCACCATTGCTGCAGGATGCAAGGGCCAGCCAACTTGTGCAGCACCACAGATGCAAAAGACCAGGCCAGCGCAGCCACCTGTACATCGGAGTAGCTCCCTCCGGATAGCGTGCTGTTCTCCGTGGCTGACGTGCGCACCACACCCGCCTGACCCGCGTCAAACCCTGCAGCCAGCAGTACTGATGCAGCGCTATGCTAAGACCCCTAAATTCAATGCTAAGCACTCCGATGTAAAATGCACCATCCCTGCAAGCAGCACATCCGTACGCGGGGTCCACATTCCGCAGCACCACAGAAGTCATCGAGCTGCCCAGCGCCGCCACCTGTATCAAAGCTGGCAGGTCTGTGTAACTTTGAGTCGCCACCAGCGTGTTATTTTCCGTCGCTGACGTGCGATACGTCTCCAACACACACTCCTGCCCCGCGTCAAACGGCACGAAATCCTCGAATGAAAATGTCGCTGTGTGTGTTGTGTCGCGCTGGTTGACGATGAAAATCGAAACGAAGTGCTGGTCGGGGTGGAAGAAGGCGGCAATGCAGTGCTGGCACCCGTCCGATGTGTGGATTCGCAAAGGCAGGCTTCCTCTCGGCGCCCCACGCACAAACTGCTGCAGCATGTAGAGCTTCTTGGAGATCACCAGATCCAACGGCTTGACTTCTGTGTCGTTCAGCCGGTAGATCCTGACCGCCAATAGCCCCCATTTCAGAAACGCGTCTGGGTTGTTCCCTCCCACCCCACTCACAGCCTGCCAGAAAATCCAGGCCGAAGCCCCCATGATGTTGACAGTCTCCACTATCTGCCGCGCCGTGAACAGCATCACACCGAAATCATTCCCGCTCACCCACATCGGCCCCACCTCCGACACCCACACCTCCTTCCCTAGTCCGGTCGCCATGCGGTGCATGCTCACCATCACACCTTCCATGTACTGCTGAGTGTCTGCCGTGCTGGGCGGCGGGTTTATGTACCCATGCACATTCAGCCGAAACAGGCCGGCCTTCAACGCAGCAGGGAACTTGAACGTGTACTGGAGAGTCGCGCCGACGAAACTGTCAAACCCCGCGACTTTTGTCGGCAGCTTGAGTCTCGTTAAGGTGGCTGTGAGGAGCCGGATAAGAGTGGTCAGCTTCTCAGGGCTGTAGTTGCACCCCTCGTTCTTGTGGCCCTGCGTCCACCACCCCTCCAACGCCTCATTCGCCGGGGTCATGGTCGAGAAAGTCACGTTCCAGTGCGTGCGGTAATGCTCGATCACCGAAGCTTGATACTCCGTGTACGCCTGGAAGTACTCGGGCTTTAAGTTGCACTTGCCTGTTTCTGTCGCGGCAGTGTCCCCACTGACCGTCATCCACCAGGGCTGCGAGTACGACACCGCCTCAACTTCGTCCACATTCCGCGCCAGGGCGGCGAGCATTGTCCGCCTCTGCCGCCCGTCCGCCGTCCAGTCGTACGGCCCGTTTGGCTGGACGCGGAAGCCGGGGATGGAGCGGGTCTCCCAGGCGGCGGTGAGGAACTGGGGGCTGTTGGTGTAGTTGACGCTGCTGCCAATGAGGTAGCAGGCCAAGTTGAGTCCGATGCCCTTGTCCTTGTCGAGGAGTAAATCCATTATGAGATCAAACTGGTCGTCCGGCAGCTTGCCCACGTAGTTGGCGAACCTGGGAGGGGCAAAGGGCAAGGGGCAAGGGGTAAGCGGTATTGATGCATGGGAGGTGGGAGAGTGTGCGTGCACACGATACATGGGACATGGGACACGAGACATCGGACATGAGACATGAGACAAGGGACATGAGACATGAGACATGAGACATGGAACCATGCCAGCTAAGCAGGTAACCATGCCAGCTAGGCGACTCACCATGCCACCTCAGCAACTCACCATACCAGATCAGCAACTCACCATGTCAGATCAGCAACTCACCATGCCAGCTCAGCAACTCACCATGCCAGCGAAGTGCCCCAGCCTCGCCACGTCTGTCCGTTCCAGCCAGGGCGATGGTGATGGTGGAGGGGGCTGCGCGGCAACGAAAGGGAATGAGAGAAGAAAGAGGTGAAGGGGAGGAGACGGAAAGAAGACGTTGGGAAGGAAAGGAGAGAAGATATTGAGCCAGCCAACGGGACTCAAGGCACAGCGGGGGCACAGTGGGGGCACAGCGGGGGCACAGCGAGGGCATGACGAAGATGGTCTAACACTAACTGCGATGCTGGCTATAATGAGAACATCGTTTGCTGCCACCTGCTCTGGCTCAACACTTACAGCGTTTTCTCTCCTGCTCATCCACCCACCTCGACTCTAAACGCGGATACCTCCCTCCCAGACCTGCACGCGCGTATGATCGCATCATCATGCGATCAATTGCGGAGCATTGCCATGATCATTGCCCCCCCCCCTCCCATTGCCGCCCTCATTGCCCCCATTGCCCCTCCCTTGCCCTCATTCCCCATCCGTTGCCCACATAGACCCTCCGCCGCCCCTATTGACCCCCCGTTGGCCGCAGCCCTAGTCCAATGGGAGTATCCCCCCCCTTCACATGGTCCTCCTGTTCTTTGAAGGACGTCACAACTCTATATCGCGGATATCTCACCTCCGAATCGGCACACGCCGATGATCTCATTGTCGGGTGTCAGCCGCGCCTCGTTCCCCGCGGGCGGAGTGCTCCCCCCATCCCCGTCGCCTGGCCGGTCGTCGGGAGGGGAAGGGGGAGGCGCGGAAGCCTGCGCGATCACAGCGCCTGCGGAAGTCAGGCTTTGCGTGGTAGCTTGGCGGTGCGCGGAGGAGGAGGTGGCGGAAGTCACGCGCGCGGAAGTTTTGCCTTGCGCCGTCATGCGCGGCCGCCAGCATCCCTGTCGCGCCGGCCACAGCAGCATCCACTCTACGTTGCACTCGCCCTCGTCGGCGCCGCTGGCGGCGGCGGAAGCCGCCAGGGAGCGCCCGCGCGCAGTTGACTCCGGCGCCCGCCCATCAGAAAAATGTGATCCCCCCGGATGCCGCGTGGTGGGGTGTCGGCTTGGATTTCTAGGTTGGAGTTCATGTCGTGAATGACAGTTAATCGGCCGGTTGGGGCAGCGTGGTGGCGAATTATAGTCGATCGTCGGGGTAGTGTGGTTTACGGAAGTGATCTGTAGTTGAATGGGCCATGTTTGACGAAGCCACGTGTTGGGTCTCTCACCACGATCGGTGCTCAACTTCAGAAGTTGAGCACAATTTGCAGACGTGGCAGTAAGTGGGTGGTTCTTGCCATTCACAATCAGAAATTGACCACAAATAGGGTGGGTGTTGAGAAGAAGTGAACGAGAGAATGAATGAACTATGAACGAGGTGAGTACAAATAGGAAACCCTAATTGGGTTGTACCCCCTATGGGATACCCCACTATAGCCTACACAAATAAGTAAGCTATAATGTTCTGACACACCCCCATAGGCAAAGTGGGGGAGAGCAAGGGGTCACAAGACCAATCAAGCAAAGCAAAGCAAAGCTCAGGGTGGATCACAAAGTCACCACACATTCCGAGTACAAGTTCAAAGGCCAAAAGGCCAGTTCACATGCAAGATCATATATAGAGATATACAAGAGACAAACAAGCAAGAGTAAGAGTATATATAGGTAGAAGTACAAGCGAGGTCAAGAAGTGAGCAAGTGAGGCAAGGCAGGCACAAGGCCCAGCTGCGTGCAGCAGCGCTGATGATCACAAGGTGCAAGTGCCTTGGTGAAGACATCAGCAGTGTTGGCCTCAGAGGCCACGTACGCAAGTCGCAACTGTCCACGCTGCTGTAGCTCACGAGCAAGAAAGTAGCGGAGAGCAATGTGCTTTGTCCTGTGCTCCAGTCGCTGCTCTTGACACAAGGGCAGCATGGCCTTGTTGTCTACGTACAGGACTGGAGGAGAACGAGGCGGCTCTCCAAGGTCGGTCAGCAGGTAGGTGAGCCAGCGTAACTCCTGTGCAGCCATGGCCCCGGCGTAGATCTCAGCCTCACAACTCGAGCCGAGAACGGAAGACGAGCGGGTAGCCCGCCACGAAACAGAGCCGGAACCAAGACTGAAGGTGTAACCCTGTGACGACCGCTGCGTAGCCTGGTCGTCAGCCCAAGAGGCGTCCGCGTGTCCAGTGAGGACCACTGGACTCCGCCCTCCAAGCACTAGCCCCATGCCCGACGTACTGCACAAGTAGCGCAACACCCTCTTCGCTGCAGCCATGTGCTCTGGTCGGTGTCTCCCAGGAGCAACATAGCGTGCAAGAATGCTCAGAGGGTATGCAAGGTCAGGTCGTGTGCAGGTCATCAGGTACATGAGGCAGCCAACAAGCTCTGCATACGGGCCACTCGACTCTACGGACTCATCCGAAGGCAGAGCTGAGAGCGAGTGGCGAGTAGGCAGAGGAGTGGCCTGAGGCGAGGAGTACGTGAAGCCGAAGCGCTGAAGGACCTGCTGCACCATGTGTGACTGAGTCAGGGTAATGGTGCGGCGTGCTCTGTCCCGGGTGATCTGCAAGCCAAGGTAGCTGCGCAGTTCACCCAGGTCAGTGCACGTGTGTCTCTTCTGCAGCTCGGACTTCACGTAGGCGAGTCCAGCAGTGTCAGCTGTGGCAAAGACCAAGTCGTCGACGTACACGAGGATGTAGAACGGCGGCAAAGAGGTGTCGGTGCGTAGAAACAGCGACGGGTCGGTAGTAGAGGGAGCAAACCCAAGAGCCGCAAGCGTAGTCCTCAGTGTGTCGTGCCACTCACGCGGCGCCTGGCGGAGACCATAGACTGGACGCCGGAGACTCCACTGGGTACCAGGAGGGAAAGACTTAGTGAAGCCAGGTGGGCGACGCAGCCAGATCTCCTCGTGCAGGCTGCCCTGCAAGAAAGCAGTGCTGAAGTCGAGAGAGTGCAGCTCGTAGTCACGGTGAGCAGCAACGTGCAGCAGTACCCGAAGAGTGGTCATCTTCGGGGTGGGGGAGAAGGTCTGAAAGTAGTCAACTCCCTGCCGCTGACTGAAACCACGAGCCACGTACCGCGCCTTGAAGACAGGCGGAGAACCCGGCGGCCGCTTCACCCTGAAAATCCACATGCCACTGACGATGTTCGCCCCAGGAGGGGGAACAGCATCAACGTAGGTGCCTGTGGACTTCCAGGAAGCCATCTCTGCATCCATAGCTGCCTGCCACTGAGAGGAGTAGGGACCCTCTATCGCCTCCGCGTAAGAGCGCGGAGTCGGGATGTCTAGTGCATCCGGGTCTCCCTCAGGGGCTAGCAGTAAAGACGCGAGATGAGGTGAGGCGGCGGCCAGACACTGAAACTCCTCCTGCCTGTCCTCAAGGACGTCCGTGCCAAGGGCACACTCACCCCCGACGGACGGAGGACAGGTAGACTCAGACTCAGCGACAAGACCAGCAGCGTAGTCTAGACGACAGCGCGCAGCAAAGTCGACAAGCTCAGTGACAAGGGCAGACGCAGCAGAAGACTCGAAAGAAGGGTCAGTGACAGCAGTAGCACGGAAACGCGTGACAGTAGGACTGGCAGCACGAAGAGAGTCCGACTCCGGGTCGGCAAGAGCAGGAAGAGAGGAAGAAGGAGGAGAAGGCAAAGAGGCACGTAGAGGATCAGTGGACGGACGGAGAGACATCCGGTGCGTGCCAGGGACAGGAGGCGGACGCTGACGCGAACCGCGACCACTAGTGCGCGCAGTACGAACAGGCGACACAGGACGAGACGCAGGCTCACGACGCTCAGTAAGACCTCCAGTCGGACCAGCGTAGGGAGAAGGAGCAGGCAAAGGGGAGGCAGGCTGTAGCAGTGACTGGATAGGCTGTGGACCCTCTAAGGGAGGAGGAGGAGGAGGACCAGGAGAAGGTGGAAGACCAAGAACCTGCTGCAGGAGCGGTACGAAGTACGGTCAGGGCCGCGTGGCGAGGCCAGAAACAGCAGGGACAGCACCATTACCCCCAGCAGGAGTACACGCTCCAGCAGCATCTCCAGCAGCACCTCCAGTGGCTCCAGAACCCCCAGCAGCTCCTCCAGTAGCCCCAGAACCTCCAGCAGCACCGCGAGCACCGCCAGTCGAACCACCAGTGGTAGTCTCAGCGCCAACACCCTTAGCAGCACCAGCTCCAGGCGATCCCGCAGGCCCAGCAGCTCCAGTACTCCCAGTACGAGCACCTCCGGGACCCGCGGCAGCAGCACCCTCAGCAGCAGAAGAACCTCCAGCACCAGCAGCACGCCTCCAGCGCCGAGCAAACCACTCATGCAGCTCCTGTGAGGAGAGTGGCTCTCGGCGAGACGAAGCACCCGGAGAACCTCCAGGCGAAGAACCTCCAGGCGCAGCACCCCCAGGCAAAGCACCTCCAGGCGTAGCACCCCCAGGCTCAGCACCCCCAGGCTCAGCACCCCCAGACTCAGCACCCCCAGACTCAGCACCCCGAGGCTCAGCACCCCTAGGCTCAGCACCCCTAGGCTCAGCACCCCCAGACTAAGCACCCCTAGACCCCGCACCCCCAGGCTCAGCTCCCCCAGGCACAGCACCCCCAGGCTCAGCACCCACAGCAGCACCAGAGTCACCAGCGACCTCGACAGGCTCGACCGCGTCTACCTGGGACACACCTGAAGGGGCAGGACCCTGAGGGGGGAGGGGGTCTACCGGGGGGGGACCTGGTACCAAGAAGAGCGGGGGTGGGGGGAGAGACGGAGTGCGGTAGGGGAAGAGGCGGTAGTAGGGTACCGACTCGTCGAACGTGACGTCCTGGGAGGACAGAACACGGCAAGAGGTGGGGTGGTAGAAATGCCACCCAGGGGCGTCGGGGGGGAACCCCAGGAAAACGGAGGGAGCAGCGCGAGGGGACAGCTTGTCCGCAGACAAGTCGCGGACAAACGCCCGAGATCCCCAGACCCGGAACGCCGACGCATCGCCAACCTTCCCCGTCCACAGCAGGGCTGGGGAGGTCTCCGGCCTGGAGACCCTGGGGTGGAGGTTGATCTGATGCGCCGCGTACCTGACAGCAAACGGCCACAGAAAATGGGGGGCAGCCGCATGCATCATAGACGTACGAGCTACGTCCATGACCATGCCAATGCGGCGCTCAGCAATCCCATTTTGCTGTGGTGAGTCCGGAAGCGTGAAGGTCTGGCGGATGCCTCGCGCACGACAGCATGCACGCAGAAGGCCAGAGGAGAACTCTCCGCCTCTGTCCGAGTGCAGACGCAACACAGGAAAGTCCGAGCCAAAGCTCTGCCTGAGCTGGAGACGAGCTGCGCGGATCCAGTCGATCAGCACCTCGGTGACATCACCCTTGCTGCGCAAGGGGAAGACTGTGGTGAAACGCGAGTAGTCGTCAACCACCAACAGGAATTAGCGCTCGTGACCGAGTCCACGGACGCGGGCAGGGCCCCACACGTCCATGTGAAGCGTCTGCAACGGAGCCTCTGTCGGAGGAAACTGGGAGGAGTGAGGGGCAGCACGCTGGCGCCCCTCGACACAGGGGACACAGGCAGGGCCACGGCCGTGAGGAAGGGGAGGGAGGGACCGGGGGAGACCAGACACAAGAAGACGGGAGGCCATGCCTCTGAGCCGAAGCAGAGAGGGGTGGCCAAGGTGGTGGTGCCAGAGGAGGGTCTCGTGAGACAGACGGCGACATGAACAGGGGGCAGACTCAGGACCAGACCTGGATGCTGCAGCAAACACCTGACAAGACGAAGAGACCCTACCAGACTCAGCACCTAGAGGAGAAGCAGTGGTCAGTGTGTACAGGCTCGACCCTGGCTGACGTGTAAACGTAGCCAGGTGGCGACCTGTGCTAGCCTCTGTGCAGTGTGTCACCCGCTGACGAGCAGGAGTGAACTGGTGGACACCCGTATCCTGTACGTCAGCACCACTCACCAGGTTTGTAGAGAACGAGGGGAGGTAGAGACCAGTCAGGGTGCCAGAGGGAGCCGCCGGACACGGGAGGACTGTGGAGAAACGAGACAGGACAGGACCCCCAGAGGGGTCAGCCAGGGACACCACAACCGGCCGACTAAGCGGCGTGAGAGTGGTGCGGTCCCGAAAGAAGGAGCGAGACGCCCCAGAGTCAAGGGTGAAGGTGTGGGAGGCCGAAGCCGACACAGTACCTAAGAGTGCAGACTCACTAGTACCTGAGAGCACAGACGCACTGGCACCTAGAGCAGCAGCCTCACTGGCACCTGACGCAGCAGTACCAATACCCGGGTCGGGCGGGAAACACCGGTAACAGTCACCCTCATCACTAACAGTCACAGCATACATGGCAGCAAGGATAGCATCATAGTCAAGATCAAAGATAGCTACACCAGCCCTAGACAGCTCTCCCCAGCGGGGGATCTCAGAGGCCTCCGGAAACTGCTGGCGCCAAGCGTCGGTCAAGCGGGCAAAGCAGCGGCGGGCGGTGTGGGTGCCCCCACACTGCTCACCCGCGCGGTCGCCGGTGCGAAGGACGTAGGTGCAGGGGCCGAACGCCCCACCACGCTGACGCTGCGAGTACCACTCACGGAGCTGATGAGGGGCGGGGATGTCGCGAGAGCGCAGCTGCTGCTGCTGCTGGCGCTGACCACCCGCAGTGCTGCTTCTCTGCGACGTGCCACTCCGGCCACCTCCACCACCGCCACCCCCGCCACCGCCGCCACCGCCACCCTCGCCCCCGCCGCTCCCACCGCCACCTCCGCCACTACCACTGACTCCACTGCCGCCACTAGTACCTCCACTCCCGCCACCACCTCCACCGCCACCCCCACTCCCCCCGCCGCCCCCACCTCCTCCGCCACCGCCCCCGCTAGCTCCACCCGCTCCCTTGCCCCCCTTGCCCCTGCCAGAGCGGCGCCTACCGCTGGGGGCAGACGCAGCACCGACCGACTCCAAACCAGCGAGGTCGGCCGTAGTAGCAGAGGCGACAGAGGGCAGTAGGGGGGAGGGAGAACACCCCTCAAAGATGGGGGTGCGAGTGTCACCACGAGAGGCCCCTACAGCGACTAAACTCTTCTCAGCCGCTAGCAGGGACTTCTCAAGGAGGTCGACAGTGAGGGTGGTGGGACAGACAGAGAGAAACTGGTCCCTAACGGCACGAAGGGACTCAGGGAGACGGGTGACTAGAAAGTAGAGAGTGATGTACATGGGAGGAGGGTTTGCGGCGCGGAAGTCAGCAGGAAGCGCAGCGCGGTAGCGAGTGTCACTAGCGTGGAGGCGGGTAAAGAGGTCAGCGACTGTGGGAAAGGCAGCGAGGTCAGGGAAGAGGTACGGTAGCATGAGGCGGCTCAGCGTAGCGGAGGAAGGGGAGGAGTAGCGCGCAACTTCAGCGTCGTTCAAGGCCTGAGCGGTCTTGCACTGACTAAAGTGCGCACGCTCGGATGAAGGGAGGTGTCGACGCACAGCAAGACGTGCAGCAGCATCGCGTGTGGCCCACTTGGAGCGAACAGTGGGGTCAGCATCAGCAGGAGGGGCAGGGACAGCGCCAGAGACAAAGTCAAAGAGAGAAACCTCATCTATCGCATCGCACAGTAAGTACAGCTGCAGGTCCTCGACCCAGACTGCAAAGTCAATGGCGCGACCCTCAGCATCAAAAGTCAGGACACTGGGGGTGGCCATTATAGCAGCTGACAGTCTCACCGGGCAGGAAGAGTTGGGTAGCTCAGTAGTACAGTAACACGGCAGTGCAGCGGCTGCGCCGGTCCAGGAGCAGCAGCAGCCCCACAGGAGCAGGAGCTCGGGCGGCTCGGGCAGCTCGGGCGGCTCGGGCTGCTCGGGCGGTTCGGGCGGCTCGGGCTGCTCGGGCGGCTCGGGCTTCTCGCGGGCGGCGCACGGGTGACTGCACGGGAGGCTGGGGCGGCTCACGGGCAGCGCGCGGGCGGCTCACGGGCGGCTGGGGCGACTCACGGGCGGCTGCACGGGCGGCTGGGGCGGCTCGCGGGCTGCTCACGGGCGGCTCGCGGGCTGTGCACGGGCGGCGCGGGCGGCTCACGGACGGGCGGGTGGCTCGCGGACGGTCGGTGCACGGGCGACGCCAGCGGCTCACGGGCGGGCTCGTGGCGCACGGGCGGGCGGCTTACGGGCGGCGCCGGCTCACGGTCAGGCGGCGCGCGGGTGGGCGGCTCACGGGCGGCGGCTCACGGGCGGCGGCTTCGCAGACGGCGGCGGCGCACGGGCGGCGTCTGACGGGCGGCTGCTTACGGGCGGCGGCTGACGGGCGGCGCTCACGGGCGGTGGCTAACGGGCGGCGCTCACGGGCGGTGCTCACGGGCGGTAGCTCACGGGCGGCGGCTCACGGGCGGCGGCTCACTGGCAGGCCGCGGGCGGCTCACGGGTGCTAGGGCGGGCGCCGGGCGCTAGGGCGCTAGGGCTGGCGCTAGGGCGGGCGCTAGGGCGGGCGCTAGGGCGCTAGGGCAGGCGCTAGGGTGGGCGCTAGGGCGCTAGGGCGCTAGGGCAGGAAAAAAAAAAAATCGAAGTGGTGGGCCCTAAGCAAAGTTCCCACAGGGGAACCTGCTCTGATACCATGAGAAGAAGTGAACGAGAGAATGAATGAACTATGAACGAGGTGAGTACAAATAGGAAACCCTAATTGGGTTGTACCCCCTATGGGATACGCCACTATAGCCTACACAAATAAGTAAGCTATAATGTTCTGACAGGTGTGTTATTCTAAAGCCGTGCGTCGCGATAGAGTTGCGAGTTGTCGGATAGTTGTAGAAAAAATAGTGATTGTACTTAACAGATGAATTAGGTTCATTGTTATGTTATTGTATCGTGAATTCAAATTCTGGGTGTTATGTTGTTTTTGTAATCGGTAATTCCAATTTTTTCCTGTGGTATCTTTTTTAATTATTATGTTACATCGTATTACTGGGCAGTATATTGTATTTATCTTCGTTTAATTGTTGGGTAGTATATTGTATTTTGTTTTACTGGTTGGTATTATTCCACTCACATGTTTAATTGGTTAGTGTGGTTTTAATATTGGCAGTGTCGATGCTTATAAACTGCCAGCTCGTGCTTTAGGGAGTTCCTCAAATCGTGGCATTCGAGCAAGAGTTGAGGGTGCAGCTGTCAGGATGGTCAGATTCGCGCCAATTTTGAAAGCGTCGGTCTTCTCACACGTGACCATTGGTTGTACTTGTACCCACTGGCAACCGTGCACCCAGACGTTTCTGATTGGGTGGTGTCAGTACAGCTCCACTTTCACGTTCAGGGTTGCAAAACCGTATTTAACTGCATAGAAAACATATTAATGCGCTATATTATGCACAGCATCGCATTATACCAGAATGAAGTACATACATCAAACAGGATTTCGAGCTGGAGCAGAGACTCGAATCTCCCTAGCAAAATTCTCTCGACATTCGTGAGCACAATAGAGACTAAGTAGTCAGACCCTTGTGCTAGTTAAACCCTGTTACTGTCTTATTTAGTCTGGGTGATCACCTCCGCCGCTATAAATTCCCTCGCGTGTATCTCAGCAGACTTGGCCATCCGCCGTACAGGCAACAAACTAACTACTCGCCACGGGCCAGGAGCGGTTTCGTGTGGAACCTTGTTGCGTTTCTATGCGGGATGTTAGACCAACTGTTGAGAATCACAGGTGTGTCTCCAGACTCTCCCTTCGCAACGCTCCAATACTCCCGTGCCCCTTCACTCCAAACACGACGCGATCGTCGCAATTCTCCCTTCCTGAGGCTCATTCCGTGCACGCCGCGTTCTTTTCCTCTCGTCCGTTCCTCCCTTACCCGCCACGTCGCATTCAGTGTCCCGTCCGCTTCCGGTGCGCGCTGCCGTCTCTTCCTTCTAGACGATTCATCCGTGGCGGACTCGTCCTATTCACCCTCCCGTGCGCGCTTCGTCCCGCCCACCCCGTCCTTTTCTCCCATGCCCGCCGCTTTGCATTATTTCTCCCGTCTGCTTCTCCCGTGATCGTTGTCGTCCCTCCCTCTGTTCCATTCCTCGTATGCCCCATTCCCCCTACCGTCCATTCCTCCCGTTCGCTTTTCGTCGATTCACTGCCATCTGTTTCCCCCATATCCGCGGATTTTGCATTGTCCCTCCCGGGCTTCGTGATTGGCGCGCCTCGCCCCATTTAGCTCCCTACTCTATTGCGCGCCTGTTTCTGTTCCCTATCTCGACCGATCCTTATTTTCGCGCCTCGTTCGTTCCCTATCTCGTTCGTTCCCTATCTCGTTCGTTCCTCCCTTGCGCGCCTTGTTCGTTCCCTCGTATTCCCTATCACGGACGGTGTCATTTGTCCTGGTCGTCCCAATCTGCCTATTGTCTCTTCCACGCATCCGTGCCTCGTGCATTCCGTGATCTCGTCCGTTGCTTGCATCCGCGCCTCGCTCGTCTCCCCCTCTTGTCCATTCCTTGTTCGTGCCTCGTTCCCATTCCAACTCTCGTCCGATACTCCATACCGCGCCTCGTTCTTTGCTCTCACTAGTCAGATCCTCCCTTCCGCAAGCGTACACTCTCCTTCTCTGCGCCTCTCCTCCATTGAGCGTACCCTCTCATGCCCCGCTGCTCCTCTCTTCCATTGTGTGTGCACTCTCTTTCCCCTCCGCGCCATTCGCATTTTGTCCCCATCATCTCCTCCTGTGCATATACTATCACATACACCGCTGCTCCTCTCCTCCTTTGCGCCTTCTCCTCTTTTTCCGTGAGCCCTCCCTCTCATTCCCCTCTCATTCTCTCATTCCGTGCGCCATCCTTCTCATTCCCCTCTCATTCCCCCCTCAAACTCTCATTCCGTGCGCCTTCACTCTCATTCCCCTCTCATTCTCTCATTCCGTGCGCCTTCACTCTCATTCCCCTCTCATTCTCTCATTCCGTGCACCTTCACTCTCATTCCCCTCTCATTCTCTCATTCCGTGCGCCTTCACTCTCATTCCCCTCTCATTCTCTCATTCCGTGCGCCTTCACTCTCATTCCCCTCTCATTCTCTCATTCCGTGCGCCTTCCCTCTCATTCCCCTCTCATTCCCCTCTCATTCTCTCATTCCGTGCGCCTTCACTCTCCTTCCCCTCTCATTCTCTCTTTCCGTGTGCCTTCGCTCTCATTCCCCTCTCAGTCTCTCATTCCGTGCGCCATCCCTCTCAGTCTCTCTTTCCGTGCGCCTTCACTCTCATTCCCCTCTCATTCTCTCATTCCGTGCGCCATCCCTCTCATTCCCCTCTCATTCTCTCATTCCGTGCGTCATCCCTCTCATTCCCCTCTCATTCTCTCATTCCGTGCGCCTTCACTCTCCTTCCCCTCTCATTCTCTCTTAGGGTGTGCCTTCCCTCTCATTCCCCTCTCAACCTCTCATTCCGTGCGCCTTCACTCTCCTTCCCCTCCCATTCTCTCATTCCTTGCGCCTTCACTCGCATTCCCCTCTACTCCTCTTCTCACGTGCGCGTTCTCTCGTCCCCCTCTGGTTCACTCCTCACGTGCGCGATCTCTCTCGTAACCCTCTATTCTGCGCCGCATTCCTTGCTCTCACTTGTCCCACCCTCCATTCCGCGCCTCGCCCCCATTCCTCGTGACATGTCCTGAGTTTCCTCTCATGCGAGTTTGTCCCATTCCCCTCTGCTCCGCTCCTCCCGTGCGCATGCTCCCTCTTTCCCCTCTGCGCCTATCCGCCCATGCGCAATTTGTCTTTTTCCCCTCTGCTCCTCTACCCCCTTTGCGCCTTCTTGCTCGCTCCCCTCTGAGTCTCTTCTCCAGTGCGCCCTCTCTCTCTTCCCTCTGTTTCTCTTCTAGTGTGCACTCTTTCTCTTGTTCCCGTTTGTTTCTCTTATCATGTGCGCCTACACACGCATCCCCACCTGTTGATCTTCTCTAGTTCTCTGTCTCCATCACTCCTCTCTGTTTCTCTCCTCCAGTGCACCTTCTCTCTCCCGTACGCTCGTCCTCGCTATGCTCCGTTACCTCCTACCCCTTTCATCCTATGCTTGTATTCTCTAGTTTCCCGTTCATCCTGTGATTGTCTTCGCTGGTTTTCCCCTTCCCCATCATCTCATATGCTTGTCTTCTCAGGTTTCGGCCTTCCACTGGCCTCATATGCTTGTATTCTCTGGTTTCCCCTTTCCCCTCCCCACCTATGCATGTATTCTCTGGTTTCCCCCTTCCCCTCCCCACCTATGCATGTATTCTCTGGTTTCCCCTTTTCCCTCCCCACCTATGCATGTATTCTCTGGTTTCCCCTTTCCCCTCCCCACCTATGCATGTATTCTCTGGTTTCCCCCTTCCCCTCCCCTCATATGCATGTATTCTCTGGTTTCCCCTTTCCCCTCCCCTCATATGCATGTATTCTCTGGTTTCCCCTTTCCCCTCCCCTCATATGCATGTATTCTCTGGTTTCCCCTTTCCCCTCCCCTCAAATGCATGTATTCTCTGGTTTCCCCCTTCCCCTCCCCTCATATGCATGTATTATCTGGTTTCCCCCTGCCCCCGCCCTTCAAGTCGCTTGTCTTCTCTAATTTCCCCTTCCCCTGCCCTCCTAAGCTTGTCTCCTCTTGTTTCTCCCTTCTCCTGTCCTCGTATGCCTTTCTTCCCTGGCCTCCCCCTTCCCCCGCCCTTCAAGTCTTGTCTTCTCCCGTTTCCCCCTTCTCCCCTACTCCCAAAATTCTGGCAGATGTCATTTCTCTGCCCAAGATGTCGTCTCTGTGCATTCGACACTCGATCAGGTTTGGGACGCCACATGCAGAGCAACTCCTGCCCTGCAAACCTCATTAGCAGTAGCGAGCAGCTGCAGGCCCCCAAGCGCGCAAGGTCGAGCTTCATCCCTCCTAACCCCATTCCGCGTGCAGTACTTAGGTTGGAGCCTGTGCATGCAAATGTAGGAACGGGTGTTGCGGAATATGTGTGTATTGATGTACCTCCTATTTCTCGTGCTGATCCAACAGACACTAGTGATACTTCCTCATCCTCTGATTCAGTAGATAGCGTGCAGCCGTTTGAACAAGATGACGATGCGTCTAGTAACGCTGCTGTATCTGGTGCTGATGATGATGGTGGGGAGGGAGCTCAAGCAGGTGTTGCACTGGCGGAAGAGGAAGATGCCCCTCAGTTTAACCTCAAGGATGCTCTTGCGCGCAGGATCCTCTCCAACCGACTCTCTATCAGTCAGATTAACGCTCTGTTGGAAATCCTGCGTAAGACCATTCTTGAAATACAAGATTGGAAGTCCTACCAAGACGTGCAGGCGTACGCTAAGTCTAGGGCGACGAATGGCCACTGAGGTTGGCGACGAAAGACCATCCGGTCACGTAACAAGGCTTGGCTGGAGTATTGGTATTGTGATCCGTTGATTGCTCTACAGGACCTGTTGAAGAACCCCAAGCTGGCTGCCAAGATGGTGTTCCATGCAGATCCTCAATATGTGGGGAACGTGAGGGTGTACAGTAACCCCGAGACAGGCCTATGGTGGGAGAGGTTGCAAACTTTGGTGCGGGAGGAGGATCCGGATGGAGTTGTGGCTGCTTTGATCCTTGCGAGTGACGAGACGCATATGGATCATAGAGGGAAGGCGAAGGGTCATCCTGTGTATCTCACGTTGGGTAACATTGATAAGGACGACAGGTGGCAACCCTCTGGGCACGTGCTACTAGCACTGCTCCCTGAGTTTCTTGCAGAGTACAACGTAGTGGACAAGATGCAAGTCCACAATTACATCATGCGAGAGGTGCTGCAATCTCTTAAGACGGCATCCTACACCGGCATGGCTATGAAGAATGCTGTAGGCGAGTCAATCAACGTGTGGCCCTATTTGTACGCTTATGTGTCGGACTACCCAGAGTCGTGCAAGATCACGTGCACGAAATCCTTGGGTACTTTGTTTCCGTGTTCGATTTGCAAGGTGGACAAGAAGCACTTGGCAGTGCTGCAGGATCGTATCCAAGCTCGTACACCATTCGAGCAGGATACCATTGTGCGAGACATCTTAGAAGGCTGGCTTGCACTAGATGCAGAGGCAACCTTCTCCACCCACCCTGTGCAGGTATAGTATGCTGTGGGTGCTGTTTTAGGGTCATTCTATGGGCTATACCATGTGCAGAACTAACCTCTAGGTGCTGGTTCTGTTTTTTGCAGAGTTTCCTAGGTGGCTGGAGGTGGGAGTCCGATACCATTCTCAACCCGTACCTTGCGGTGCTGCCCGATGTGATGCACCAAGAAGGTTTGGGCATTTACGAGCACATTGTCGACTTTATTCGCGCGCATGTGAAGTTAATGGCAGATAGAAAGAAGCTGGACAGGATCCTTAGGTACTACAAGAGAAGTATTAGAGGGGGGAACATGCGTTTACCCGCGGGTCAGTACTTCGAAAAGGGGGCGAACTATCAGGCATACGAACACCGGTCGGTCATGTAGACTCTGCCCTTCATCGTGAAGGTTTTTATTACGCAGCCGAAGATGGACGCACTCGTCTCATACATCGAGTGGTACCTCGAGTGCGCGCGGGCATCGGAACACACTGACACCTCCCTCCTTGAGTTCAAGACAAAGGCACACCGGTGAGTAGTATAGTTCACAGTGTGTTGCGTTCATTCTCCGACTGCTTGCTAAATATTGATCGACATGTTTTGGCCTATACGCAGGATGTTACACAACCTCAAGACCGCATTCCCGCACACGTCGGATTGGAACTTCATTAAGATGCACCTCATCAGTCACTACATAGACTCCATTCGTAGGTCGGGCTTGCCCGAGCATTATTCTGCACAACTATACGAGCATCTGCATATAGAGTACATAAAAAACCCTTACCGGGCATCGAATAAACGGTCAGTCAATAGCCAAATCGTCGGCAGCAAAGAGGCACGGCTTCGTCTTCAGTATATCGCGCCACAACTCATGGCGAAGAAGAAGTATGACACCGCCATGGTGAAGGTAAGAACTAGACTTATGTGTATGGTTCTTGATTATTTCCATCGAGCATGGAATACACGTAACGAGATGATGGTGGTGTTCCATGCCTGCAGGCCCAACGGACAGGCGAGCGGGTTCTATCCAAGAGGAGTTGGGCATTGTACGTGCCAGAAACACGTGTTGGAGCCCCATACCCTCACGTACCGGACGCGAAGCGTGATGGCCCGTTGCAGGCCATCATCGGCGAGGAGTTGAAACACGCGTGCGGCATTGGATAGGGCACCTGGCTGTGACGGCAATGGGGAAGCTATCAAGGAAGTACATGTATGTACGACGTCCAGTCCTGCCCCGTCGTAGCTTTTGTAACCGTACCCAAACAATATGACTCTTCTTGTTGACGGTACCTTTGCAGGTCCACTGGGAACTCGCCATGCCAGCTGCGGTTGATGCGCAGTATAGTCGCCTGCCGCACCACATCCGCGCCCTGCCCATGCACCACGGTCGTCAATGGTTTTCTGATGTGGCGGTCAAAGGTGAGGGCTCAGACGGGGACGAGGAGTGGTTTGCGAAAACCCTTCTGTTGTTTCATGCCAAGGTTGCGGGCACGGTTAAAAACTATGCATTCGTGAAGTACTACAGGGAACAGGCCAGCGTTGATGCAGCCACCAAGTGCAAGGTTTTGCACTGGGAGGGAGTTAATCAGAGGTACCGAGTAATCAGTATTGATAGCATCAAGCGCGTGGTACAGTTAGTGCGACCGGACAAAGACGCTGAAAAGTGGTTCGTTAATAGGTTTGCGTGGTGAAAACTTCATACTCGGTAGTATATTTAAGTGGCCTGGCAGGCAAAGAAAGCCATCTAGGTTGCCTTAGCCTTTTAAGAGTCAAATACTTCAATCTGTATTTTATATTACGTTCCCAATTCGTTTGCAATCAGTACCAAACAGCATACTTTGTCCCGCTTCATCGTTATTAAGTCATCATCGATGCAATGGCAGCTGCCATACGCAACACCGTCAGACAAGGATAACTGCCTCGTGTTGCGCACTGTGGGGTGCACCTGAATGTGGATGGCGGTGTCGCACTAGTCGGTCGAAATCTTCCAGTTGCCAACACAGATGGTGGCAGCTTCCGATTGGTTCATTATGCGGCAATAACAGTCGTGTTGGCAGCACGATAGTCGAAAACGAGACACATTCAGGCATTTTCTCCAGCTACGTGCCACACTGCGCGCCGCACAAGCGTGACATCAGCTCTGTTGGAGTCGAGGTCTGCGCAGTGGCGACGTTTGTCTCACCTGCACCTTTCGAAGTGGTGCTTGTACGAGATGGAAATTTTTAGTTGTAAACTAACCGCTTGACCGCGACCGTGGTTGTTCCATTTGCTTTCGAGTAAATATCAAACAAGTTCGTGTTTGACGCGCAACTGTGATTTCAACACATTTTTTCGTTCACACCACGCTAGATCACTACAGTTTGAAAGATCATAGTTTCATAGCATAGTTTATGGGTGTGTTTTTTAGTTTAGGCACGTTAATCCACATATATGCATGTTACCTTGCTTCCTCGTTCGCCGAATCAAAGTTCACAGTAACATTTTCCGAAAAAAGGCATGGGAAACAATTGACATATGGGATTGAGAAGTCGCAAACATTCACTGTGTCGCTAAAAAATTCAGATAATAAGCCGTGCGAAAAAAAAGCTCATGGCTGGTTGCGTCGTGGCATTTTCCCCATTTGGTAAGTTTAACTGGTCATCAACCATCACTATCCTCAAACCTATGGCTCAGAATGGGGGACAGTTAGTGCGGGCAGGCACCGGGAAAAGAGTTTTGCTAGATCCAGCAGGGGTCACCTTGCCCCATTCTCATTCTGCTCTCAATCTACTCGATGCCTCTGCACTGTCACAGCTGGGAGATGACATTCTTACAGAAGAGAATAAGAGGCGGCAGTTAGCTAAAGAGGCTGCTTTAAAAACAGCTGCAGTCAACACTCTCCACGGCGCTCCCACGGTTGGTAAGACGGCAGCTGCAGGCCGTCGGGGCGGGTCTAAGAGGAAACGTGCTGCCGCCGGCTCTGGTGCGAGTGGTCGATCCTCTAGTGCGAATGGCAACATTCCTGTAGGCTCGCCATCCGCTGACAACCCTACCGCCGGCACTTCGTCAGAAGCAGAAGGCGCGAACCCTGCATTGGTGGCAGAAGCAATGGACACCACGCAAAACGGCGCACCAACCACACGCGGCATAGTCTGCGGTATCGCGTCAGACGCAGATATTGGAGCTCTCCCTGCACCCCCCGTGCCTGCCGCCGGAGCCCCGGGTCCGATGATGGCAGTAGTGATTGAGGCCGCAGAGGAGGGCGGCGTGGATCCCTTCATCGCGTACGGCATCGAAGCTGGTAGCGACGACGAAGACGGGAACTACGACGATGCAGATGATGTTGACGGCGTCCAAGCGGGAAACGACGATGAGTTGCGCGCAGTGGAGGTTCGCGCTGCGGAAGTGTGCGCGGCGAAGGTTCGGGCGGTGGAGGTTCGGGCGGCGGAGCTTCGGGCGGCGGAGCTTCGGGCGGCGGAGCTTCGGGCGGCGGAGATTCGGGCGGCGGAGATTCGAGCGGCGGAGATTCGGGCTGCGGAGGTTCGCGCGGTGGAGGACCGCGCTGCAGCGGTTCGAGCGGCAGATGTGCGCTCTGCGGAGGCTCGCCAGACGGAGCTGGCGCCGCACACCTCGCAGCCTAATAACCCGACAGCACCCGTTAGGCGTGAGCGGTCGCAAGGCAAGCAAACGCAACACGCTCATAGCTACGGTGCCAGTTCTTGAATTGTTGCTTAACTCCATCCTACGTTTCCCCCCCCCGGCCCCCCACTCGCCCCCTCCTCTCGCCAATGTGTTATGCATTTTATTTCTATGAGCTGAGCTCCGTTGTTCATAACGTCGGCTGGATGACTGTCTAATTGTTCTTTCCACTTGCTTGTTGTCTGCCTTTCTCGATACGTGTTATTCCCGGGGCTTGTCCCGTAGTTGCTGGTGCGCACCATTTCAGGGAAGCACAACAGCTGGAGGCACAATTGCGTGACCTGCAGAACACGGTCTCCACTCTAAACGCGCAGCTGCAGGAGGCAAGGGCCAGGATCAAGGCGGTGGAGGCTAAACGCGATAGTCTGAAAACGCAGTTGGAGTCGATGCAGCGACAGCTTTCAGCGGAAGTCGCTGGAACGAGCTCGGACGTGGGCGCCCTTCGGGACCCTTCTGACCCCCTGGTCCGAATGGAGAACGTCCGTAAGGACATTGCGGGCAACCCGACCATTCTGTCATCAGTCACCAGCAATGATGCATTCGATGTAAGTCAGTTAACCGAGGTGCCATTCTGATAGTATGTATTTTCGGATGTGCTGTCCTTTTATGTCTTGCAAGTTCTGTCTTTAAACCCGCCCCCAACCCTTCCTCTCGCTACCGCTCTCGGCCCGTCCACCACTTCCTTCTGTCCGTCTTTTGTGAGTCCCGTCCACAAACTTGTGTGTAGCATGTCCGGTGCCTGAAATTTAACCCCCTCCTCACCCTTGTGCGTCCTTGTGTTGATTGTCTGGAAATGATGGGTAAAACCTTCGCCTCGCTCATCACCCTTGCCCCTGCAGGAGAGATGGAGTTCTATCCTCTGTGGGAAGAATTCCAACCGCATTTGGTGCGCAAGTACATAGCTGAGGGGACCACGCAAGATGAGTACTACCTCTTCATGGGCGGGAACAGCAAGCGCATTGATCGGGCGCTGAAGGTGATTGGCTGCAAACGCGCGAACATGAACAAGCCGATCAAGCTCTAGGCGTGGGGTGCTGGTGGTACCTTTTGAAGTTTGGTGGCATCACTCCATCAAAGGCGCGCAACGAAAAGGAGTGGGTGGAGCAGTTCAAACACCGTGAGTGTGCTTGTCTTTTCTCACATCCGCACCATGCTGGAATGTTCTTGCGCACAGATCTGATTGCCATTGTTTTTATCTCCGCAGCGAAGTATGGCTACGACTGGCATTGCTCTGCTCAGGGCCGCCCTTTTGCGAATGCAGCCTTTGAGCTGGCAGTCAAAAAGGCATTCGTCAGTGCCCGGTGCAACATGTTTGCAGTGAAGATTCCAGCGGTCGGCTATCTGTGCAACGTGGTAAGATGTCACTTGTGTTATTTGATCCAGTTTGTTTCCCCCTGCATATTGTTCTTAACTTAAGCGCCTTTCATTGGTGGCAGGTTGAATGGCCATTGGAGAACCACAAGGGCAAGAAGGGCCATGCATCTCTAGACAACAATGAGACCAACAACCGCAACAACGTCCATGCCAAGACGAGGGTGGTTGCTGCCTGGCTGAAGGAAACCCTTGAAAGGGAGCCTGCCACGTTCAAGATCGATGAGCCCATGGGGTTTGAGATGGGCATTAGGAAAGTTAGGATTTTGATAGAGGGATATGAGTTGTTTTTCTTCCCCTCAGGGGTCGTTCCAACCCCCTGGCCTCCAATTAACAACCTGTGAATACTTTCTAAATGTAGTAGGTTTTTTCTAATTGATGATTTTATGATTTAGAGTATTATGTAATCACTAATTCTGCAGAATTATATCAACCTTTTTATATCGTAGTCAATGCAGTTTTATATCAATGTAGCAATAATATTAAATATATTGAGATCTTTTGCATACAATCACGTCACTTTATTTTCCACACCAGTGACTATATTGAGTTGTTAATTTCCAGGAATGCAACGAATTCCTCGATAACGAGCTGAAATATTTAGTTTAGCACGTTACAATTGAAAATTAGTTGCTCAGGTAACCATATCGTAAACGCCAGCACATCTTCCCAATTGTTCGTCGCAACGGTGTGTACCACCAGTTCCTGCCCTAAACCGATGTTGTTCCTACAGTCCACGTGGCCAATCGAAGCTGACACCTTGAGCTGATTTCGACCGCAACCTGCAGAATCCGTTCGTTGTTGCTGCATCAACCACCACACAACCGAACTTACCTTCGGACCGAAAAGTGGTTATCAACCAGCGTTGACAGCACCACCTGTTTTGGGCAGATTATTGCCTCATTAACTAGGCAAGCGGAACACGACAGTCAACTCCCACGCTCCTTCACCTCCTCGACTGTTTACTGCCCCAAACTGGGCGGACATTTTTCTGATGCCGAAAGGTCGTCATCCCCTACGATGCCTTCGGACTGGGCGGCGGCCGCGGGCTTCATGTGCTCCAGGCCGCACGCAGAGATGCGCAGGCCATGGCGCCCCCAAATCCACGCCTCGCGCTCCGCGTCATACTCGGGGTTGCGGATACGGATCGCCCTCTCCACGTCCTCCTTGACCAGGACCTTGAGCCCATCCACAACGTGGGCGTTCCCGCCCGCCAAGATGGAGAGCCGGCCTTTCCGCGCCTCCCAGTAGAGGACGCATTCGGAGACCTGCGCCCAACACAAAAAGCGTCAGTCCATGCATTTCCAGTAGGATGCACACCATTGCACACATCGCGCGCACACACTCACCACATGCTCCAACCAGGCTAGGTGGTACACCTTAAGGGTCATCACCAGCCCTGCCTTCTTTGGCTTGAAGGCAGCCTTCGGACATGTCGCGAACGCCCGGGAGGCAAACAGCATGCCATCCCTGTCGTGCGCCCAGCTCGTCAGCACTAGAGCTTCTGCACACCACATCCGAAGCGTGGGTATCAATGTCCACAATTCTCGTCGACGACTCCAACGCGCGTCTCATGCACTCACCAGGGGGGTCAGCGCCAAGCCCAATGCGCTCCCTTATCTTCTCGATACTACGCTCCTTTTCAGGTGCCCACGGGCTGGATGCGTCCCTGTCGTCCCGGAACAGGCCGAGCTTGGGAAGTGCAATGTCTCGCACGCGAGCGGCAGCCCTTGTCTTCCACTCCGACAGCGTCTCGTTGAGATCCGCCCGTCGGGACTTGTCAGCCGCCAACGCCAAACAAGCGAAGCTGTGAAGGCAGGCGGTCCAGCACCGCGCACACTATGTGAGTCTTATCGTCGCTGCTCGGGTAGAAGGTCATCAACGACGTGGGCCTGTTGAGAAACATGTGAACTCTGGCCAGCTCGCAAACCCGCTGCGCACCCATAGTATACACCATCACCAACATCAGCATTCACTGTGGACCATCAACGGGTACAGAGTGCAACCCAATCCGGACGGGAAGTTACTGAACCGAGATGGAAACATGCCCGCTCACCTTCCACGCCTTGTCTGTCGGCAGATGCGCCAACGCGCGTTGCAGAATAGGAGACTTTGCAGTATGCATATGACGACCACCAGAACCATGCGTATCTTCCTCGTCGTCCTCTCCGTCATCGTCCAACCCGCCGCTCCATGTCTCGCCACGCTTACGCTTGGGTTCATGCACCCCTGCTCCGGGTCTCTCTGCTTCCGAGCCTTACGCTTACGAGATCCACCAGAAGGCTGCGCCATTGCATTCAAGAACAGCGCCTCCAACCGCGCGTTCTCCTTGGCGCTCCTGTCCTGAGCCTGGATGAGTTGCTCGAGAACCCTGCTCGAGATGCGCACGTCATCGCCGTCGGTGTCCACTGGGGTCCCGCATGCGCGGTCTACATGCACGTCCACATGTCCTCGACCTTCGCCCCGAAACACATCCGTCTCCCCCGCGCCCCAACTTTCGCGCCCGTCTGCTTTGGGTGAAGCGGTTCCCGCACACCTATCATCGGCCGTCTTCCCTCCAGTGGCAGGTTCGCCAGATTCTTCGGGTGAGGCTGAGGCCGATGTGTCTGAGTCTGCCTCGCCATCCTCTTCATTGCGCTCGGACGATGAAGCACTCTCTGCACCAGTGCCGTCATCTGCGATGATACAGAGGCTCCAGACAAGCACGGTACCACATGTCAGCTATACTTGTTGTACACGGGGGTTCATACATATAGACAATGCAAACACTCGCATTAATACAACGAGTCACCCATCCACGCTCTTTCTGCATACCTTGCTCATGCTGTACCACCTCGTTTCCCTTCTTGGCCACGCTCAAACGCTTAGGCAGTGTCGGCCCGCGTTTCCCGTTCGACAACCGACCGCGCGGCATTGTCAGCTGATACGACGCTCGGAGGTACGCCGGCGGGTTAGATACACGACGGGCGCGCCCTCCCGTCCAAGTATCCTCTAAAGCAAGCGAAGTATCCATTGTAGCAACAATAGTATCCAGTGAGATGCTCACAGAATGACGCGCGGCTCTATACTTCTACGTATAGCTTCCGCTCAACTTCTTAACACACCGGAGCCCATCTTGGGCAGTGAGTTTGGTAGGCAATACGACTTCGTGGCCATTTGGATGACCGCAATCCGAAACGGCTAATACATGCACACCACGTCATCCGCCGCCATGTACATGTGTGTACACATGAACCACACACCGCGCACATCCTGGCGACACAACCGTATCGTTGGAACTCGTTTGTGAGTACATCCTGTCTCACGGAAGTATTCACTGCGCACGTTGTTGACGTACATCCTTTCACTATACATCTCACCAATTGCACGTTACACTAGCACACAATGTACCGACAATTGAGCTCCATTGTGTAAGCAAGAGCCTTCGCACCCATCAATCGCGAATACAAGCAGAAAATTTGACGCCCTGCACATCTCTAACTGCATTTTTCGCAAAACATACTGTACAATTGCAATCATGTGTACGTCTATGCATCTACATCAACTATGCAGGATGGTCTGCCAACTTCTCATGTGCAACAAAGTCTTCCACACCCTCCTCGGCTTCGTTGTGCCGAGCACACCCGCTGCTGCCGTTGTGCACAGGGGCCGTTCCCCCACTCTCAGCATTGTCAGGGTCGTCTGGTTCGTTGGCCGCCTTGTTGTTGCTATCCACCACCCTCTGCCTCTTTGACGTGCGCGTGGCAACCACTCGCTTCCTCCCTCGTTTCAGCTTCCAGTTCACGCCCTCCCGCGCCTCCCTCCAGCTCCGCCACCACCACCTCTGCGCTTCCACCAGGAGCTGCAGATCTTCCTTGGTGCATCCACGCAGCATCGCCTTCTCTGCAGCTGACAGACTGACCGTGTTGGGTATCTTGTCTCGTGGCCTCAGGACGAATGCACCTGCGGCGTACGCAAACGCCGCATCCTCCTCCGATGTGTATGCACCCAGCCGCTGTTGCTTACGTTTTCCTCCTTCCTTGATCAGGATCTTCACGCCGAACTGCCTGATGCTTTCTCCAACTTGACTCCTGTGTACTTCGTTGCACACGTGTCGTCACCATCCTCTTCGTCCTCCGTGTCTGACACGAGATCCTCTTCTTCTTCTGCCTTCACCGTCTCGTGGCCGCTCGTATCTCCCCACGCATCAGCTCCAGCCAGCACCGTCACCCCGAGCAGCGGTCTCCCGCGGGTGAACATCCAGTGAGGTATGGTCCCTCCCGACAGCAGCGGGTTTTGCAGCAAGCGCGCTGTCGGATCACATGCAGCGAACGAGGAGGCCAGCGCAACACGGGTGGCATACCGTACGCCATCCTCCTCTGGACTGCTGTCATCACGCCTCTTGCAACCGGATGGACGCTGTGGAGTGTGTGGGGCATTCTTGGTGCCACCTGCCTCTGCTTTCGCGCCGGATCTCACGGGGCTGCCTTGCATCAGTAGTTGGGTTGCAGCGGACACCACCTCGTCGCGCCTCAATCCCACAAAACTGGCTATGACGGTGAAGCTCGCGTCCAGGTACATCACATCGTTCTTCATAGTTGCCATTTCCCTCATCATCGCCGTTACCCGTGAGTCATCCCCGGCTTGAGTGACCGGTGCTTGCCTCACATCTTCCATACCAGCGTTCCTCTCCCGCACCACTGCCCCCCCCCTCTGTTACCCGGCCTGCGTCTTGCAGGGGAATTTTGATCCCCAGCGCTTCCAACTGCTGAATGAGATCTCCGGTCGCGTGTGCGCACAAGTCGCGCCGCATCTCTCGCCGGTATTGGTGCGGCGTCACACCCTGAAACTAGAGCCCGCTCAATAACGTGGTGAAGCCGGACATCACCAGGGTCTTCAGGTACTGGCAAACAAAAATTCCACAGTCCTGCTTGTTCGGCTGCTGTGGCAGCTTATTCTCCTGCACTTCGACAAACGCACACTACAGTTAGTAATCCGTCTGCCCTCGAAAACATTGTGCACACAGGTATGCGCATTCACTGGTACCCTCACCCGTAATATTATGCACTCCGCCTCCAACAGCTGCTTGTCCACAAACTCCATGTTCGCGTCAGGGTTACTCGCCTTGGCGAGTTCGGACAGCACTCTGCACGTTACAAGCCGAAATCGTTAAAACAAGTTCTGGGTTGCTACCAGCGACATGCAACGTCGACAGTGAACCCCGTACTCACAGCTTGGTGCCTGCAAAAATCATGGGGGTGTTCCTTGTCTTTATGCTATTGTCCAGTAAGACCAACTTCATTCGCTCTTTGCCTTCGGATTTCGCGGACTTGGTAAGCACCGATGGAGATACAGCGATGATGAGCGAGTAGTGCTCCCTACGCTCAACATGAGAGGGTATGTTGGGATAAGGGTTAGACAACCATCGGTGTCATGCTAAAGAATCCGCTCACGAACCGGATATTTGTGATGCGTACCCCTCTAGCACAGGGATCGCGAGATAGTCGTGCTGCAGTAGCAGAAGCCCGTTCCCCAGCGTCAAAGGCGCACCACACGAGTTCGTGTGGAAGTACGCCTTGCAGTCCAAGGCAGCCCATGTTTTCCCCGTCACGAAGAGTCGGCTTCCGGATGCTAAGCAGCCTGCACAGTTAATGAACAAGAAAAAACAAAGCGTATAAGATGTTGCCCATACATCAGATACTATGCAACAAAGCGTCAACCAGGTGACCGCCGTGACGATACTTATACGTTGTGAAAGTCTAGCACGCCATCAGTAATCCACTGATCATCCTCGATCGACATGAGGTCGTCCTTTTCCACCTCACACCCGACGCCGCGGTGATTTATAAGCGTCATGTTTCTGTACGAAGACTTCATGAAATTCCGTGCGACGAGGGCCACCAAATCTTCCGGCACCTGCTCCCGCGCCGTATCCTCCTTATGAGTAGCAAACTGTCAGAACATTGTAGCTTATGCTTTTGTGTAGGCTATAGTGGGGTATCCCATAGGGGGTACAACACAATTAGGGTTAGTACTTGTACCCACTTCATTCATAGTTCATTCATTCGCGTTCACTCTTCCACATGGAATCAGAGCAGGTCCCCTCCTAGGGACTGTTCCCAGGGCCCACCGAAGCGCGCCCCGAGGCGTGCGTTCCTATTTTTTTAGCGACCCTCCGTGTCGCCCCTAGCGGCCCGCTCCGCCGCCCTTACCTACGTGGCCCCGCCGCTCTTACCTACGCGGCCCCACCGCCCTTACCTACGCGGCCCCGCCGCCCTTACGTCGCGGCCCCGCCGCCCTCACGTCGCGGCCCCGCCGCCCTTACGTCGCGGCCCCGCCGCCCTCACCACGCGGCCCCGCCGCCCTCAGGTCGCGGCCCCGCCGCCCTCACGTCGCGGCCCCGCCGCCCTCACGTCGCGGCCCCGCCGCCCTCACGTAGCGGCCTTGCCGCCCTTACGTCGCGGCCCCGCCGCCCTCAAGTTGCGGCCCCGCCGCCCTTACGTCGCGGCCCCGCCGCCCTCACGTCACAGCCCCGCCGCCTCACCTTCGCGGCCTCGCCGCCCTCACCTTCGCGGCCCCGCCGCCCTCACCTTCGCGGCCCCGCCGCCCTTACCTACACGGCCCCGCCGCCCTTACCTACGCGGCCTCGCCGCCCTTACCTACGCGGCCCCACCGCCCTTACGTCGCGGCCCCGCCGCCCTCACGTAGCGGCCCCGCCGCCTCACCTTCGCGGCCCCGCCGGTCTCCCCTCCTGCCGAGCCGCCCGAGCAGCCGCCCGCCACGCCGCCCAGTACCGGAGCAGCCGAGCCGCCCAGCAGCAGCCGCAGAGCCGCCGGGCCGCCGAGCCGCAGTACAGCCGAGCCGCCCAACAGCCACCGCCGAGCCGCCGAGCCGCCGAGCCGCAGTACCTCCGAGCCGCCCCGCAGCCGAGCCGCACTACTGCCGAGCCGCCCGACCTGCCCTGTCTGGTGAGCACAGCCCCACTCCTACTGCGTGCCCTTCCCCCACTGCTTGCACTGCTAGTCTGTCGTCATGGCTACCCCTAGTGTCCTCGCTTTTGACGCTGAGGGTCGAGCCATTGACTTTGAGGTCTGGGTCGACGACCTGCAATTGTTTTTACAGTGCGATAGGGCGGACGGTCTTTCTCTCTTTGACCTCACCTCTAGCGCCTCCCCTGCTCCTGCTGCTGATGCTGACCCCACTGTTCGCTCTCAGTGGGCCACCCGCGATGCTGCTGCACGTCTTGTTGTGCGTCGCCACCTGCCTACCACTGAGCGCGCGCACTTTAGTCAGTACAAGAGTGCTCAGACCTTGTACGACGCTGTAGTTGCGCGCTACTCTTCCCCTGCCACTGCTGCACTGAGCCGCCTCATGCTACCGTACCTCTTTCCTGACCTTGCTGCCTTTCCTACAGTCGCTGACCTCATCACGCACCTCCGCACTTCTGACACTCGCTGAGTTCTGCGCCAAGAACCCCCCCCCCCATGTACATCGCTCTCTATTACATAGTCACTCGCCTCCCTGACTCCCTTCGCGTAGTCAGGGACCACTTCCTCTCAGTCTGTCCCACCACCCTCACTGTCGACCTCCTCGAGAAGGCCCTCCTAGCGGCAGAGAAGAGCATAGTCGCTGTAGGAGCCTCTCGTGGTGACCCGCGCACCCCCATCTTTGAGGGGTGTTCTCCTTCCCCCCTGCTGCCCTCTGTTGCCTCTGCTGCTGCTGCCGACCTGCTTGGTCTTGAGTCGGTCGGCGCGGCGTCTACCCCTAGCGGGAGACGCCGCCCTGGCAAGGGCAAGGGGGGCAAGGGCGCAGGTGGAGCTGGCGGGGGCGGTGGAGGTGGCAGTGGCGGTGGCGGAGGGAGTGGGGGTGGCGGTGGGAGTGGTGGTGGGGGTGGTGGTGGTGGTGGCGGCAGCGGAGGCGGCGGCAGGAGCGGAGGTGGAGGTGGCGGTGGGAGCGGAGGCGGCGGTGGTGGCGGAGGTGGAGGCGGCGGTGGCCGAGGAGGTGGAGCCGGTCGGGGTAGTGCCCCGCAGCGGAGCGGCTCTGGTGGTGGTCCGCGCCAGCAGCAGCAGCAGCAGCAGCGTTCTCGGGACATCCCCCCACCTCAGCAGCTCCGTGAGTGGTACACGCAGCGTCAGCGTGGTGGGGGTCTTGGCCCGTGCACCTACGTTCTTCGTTCCGGCGACCGCGCGGGTGAGCAGTGTGGGGGTGCCCACTCCACCCACCGCTGCTTTGGCCGCCTGACGGACGCTTGGCGTCAGCAGGTTCCCCGAGGCTAGTGAGATTCCCCGCTGGGGAGAGCTGTCTAGGGCTGGCGTAGCGATCTTTGATCTTGACTTTGATGCTATCCTTGCTGCCATGTATGCTGTGACTATTGGTGATGAGGGTGACTGTTACCGGTGTTTCCCGCCCGACCCGGGCATTGGTACTGCTGCGCTAGGTGCTTGTGAGGCTGCTGCTCTAGGTGCCAGTGCGTCTGTACTCTCAGGTACTGGTGAGGCTGCGCTCTCAGGTACTGCGTCGGCTTCGGCCTCCCTCACCTTCACACTTGACTCAGGGGCTTCTCGCTCCTTCTTTCGAGACCGCACCACACTCACGCCGCTTAGTCGGCCGGTTGCAGTCTCCCTGGCTGACCCCTCTGGGGGTCCTGTCCTCGCTCACTTCTCCACTGTCCTCCCGTGTCCGGCTGCCCCCTCGGGCACCCTGTCGGGTCTGTACCTCCCCTCGTTCTCGACGAACTTGGTGAGTGGTGCTGACCTGCAGGATGCGGGGGTTCACCAGTTTACTCCTGCGAGTCAGCGGGGGACCCACTCCTCGGACGCCCGCACAGGCCGACACCTAGCCACGTTTTCGCGTCGGCCCGGGTCGAGTCTCTACACCCTGACCATTGAGTCTCCTCCAGTCCCTGCGTCTGGCCAGGTAGCTGCGTCGGGTCAGGTGTTTGCTGCTGCGTCCAGGTCTGGTCCTGAGTCTGCCCCCTGCTCGTGTCGCCTCCTGTCTCACGAGACTCTCTTGTGGCACCACCGTCTTGGCCACCCCTTCTTGCCTCGTCTTCGGGGCATGGCTTCCCGTGTCCTTGTCTCTGGTCTCCCCCGGTCTCTCCCTCCCCTTCCTTCGGGGCTAGGACCTTCCTGTGTCCCCTGTGTCGAGGGGCGGCTCCGGGCTGCCCCTCACTCCTCCCAGTTTCCCCCGACAGAGGCTCCTCTGCAGACGCTTCACATGGACGTGTGGGGCCCGGCCCGCGTCCGTGGACAGGGTCACGAGCGCTACTTCCTGCTGGTGGTTGACGACTACTCGCGTTACACCACGGTCTTCCCCTTGCGCAGCAAGGGTGATGTCACTGGGGTGTTGATCGACTGGATCTGCGCAGCTCGTCTCCAGCTCAGGAGGAGCTTTGGCTCAGATTTTCCTGTTCTGCGTCTGCACTCTGACCGAGGCGGAGAGTTCTCCTCTGGCCTTCTACGAGCCTACTGTCGTGCACGAGGCATCCGCCAGACCTTCACGCTTCCGGACTCTCCACAGCAGAATGGGATTACTGAGCGCCGCATTTGCATGGTCATGGACGTCGCTCGTACGTCCATGATGCATGCGGCTGCCCCCCATTTTCTGTGGCCGTT